CTCTGTAGACCAGGCTGGCCTTGAACTCACAGAGATCCACCTGCCTCTGCCTCTCTGCCTCTCTGCCTCTCTGCCTCTCTGCCTCTCTGCCTCTCTGCCTCTCTGCCTCTCTGCCTCTCTGCCTCTCTGCCTCTCTGCCTCTGCGCCTCTGCGCCTCTGCGCCTCTGCGCCTCTGCCTCTGCCTCCCCAGTACTGGCATTAAAGTTGTGTGCCACTATTGCCTGGCTGTGTTTGGTGGGTTTTTAATGACTGGTTTCCTCCCTACCCTCCAGACAGCCTAGATTCTAAGTTACAGAGCCACAAGGTGGAAAGGACTAGGCAGAAGGGGAAAGAGAGGAAGGGAGGAAGACATTCTCTATCCAGCTGCGTTGTTTACAGACATGGAAACTGAGATGTGGAGGAGATAGTCAAGATCCACAGCCGATTACTGAGCAAGGGCTGCTGCTGTTTTCAGTGCTGTGGTTCTCAGCCATCTGGGTGGAATTAGACCAGCCCTAATTCTACTGCTGATTCTCAAAACCAAGATAGAAAGTGATTTTCTATCAGGAGCAGTATGATAGTAATTCACCCCTGTTACAAGAAGGTCATGATTGGGTTCTCCGCAGAGCACTACTGTTCTTCCATTTAAAATCACACATGTATTTAGTGTGTGGGTGAGCTCATTTGTGGAGGTCAGAGGGCAACTTTTGAGAATTGGTACAAAATCAGCTTTGAGGAAAAAGCTCCTTTTTAATCTTTAAAGTTGTCAGTTGTGAGTGCTTTAAGCATTTTTTTTTTGAAACCTTTTGTTTTTGTCATGATAGAGCAGACTCTCTTACAGTTACAGTTAGCAGGTACTGCCTTGAAGAGTTGGGTACCGTGTGTTAGACGTGACCACCTCTGAGCCTCCGTCAGCTGCCTGCAGTCTCGTACGTTTTAACATGAACCAGGAGGAATAGCAAGAACCTTAGTTGAGCCTTGCTTTCTTCTCTGCTAAGGTCCAGGGTTTTGTGTCTAGCCACACCAGTTGCTCAATAAATAACCCCCTTCCCTTTCCCAGAGCACGATGCCAGATTCCAGGCACCGATTCACTGTCATGGCAGTTCCTTTTTCCCTTGAAATGTATTGTTTTAACCTCTGTGAGACATTCTCCCTGCGTTTTGAAAATGTGCATAGCAAACAATACTTCTTAGTCACTATAAGCATAATTTTACCATGAAATCATTTTGCAACTGGTAATTGTTTTATGTTCTATATTCTTTCCCACGATTAAAGAAAGAGAAAATGGCCTGGGTTACAGATACCCCAGACCTCTGTGGACTTTTACATTCCTTCCAAAAGACTAGATTTCAGTTTTACTGAAATACTGATTTTTCTTTATCATTTTAAAGTCCTCTGAGATCAAATTGTATAACCTACTA